TTCAGCTGTGGAGATGCTATGTGTACTATAGCAGCCAGTACCAGCTTCCCTGAGCCATTCGAGACACCATCTGACCGCAAGAGACTGGGCTGGGTACATAGGCAGTTTTCAGGGACACGCCACAGTGACCATATTGCACTTCTTAGCGCATACCAGGCTTGGGAAGATGCCAGGTAAGTCACCTTTTCGACATCTGTGTTTTTGCGGTCGTTTATGTTTGGCTTATTGCAATCTTGGCTCCTTCATTGTGCATTTTTAAGTCGATAATTTAGCTCTTCGATTCGTTGTCGATGCATTCCATCTGACACTGGAGAATCCAGACACCGAGAAGTGGGTCTAAAAGACATCAAGGCGCACCGAAGTTCTTTTACACCGACTTCGAGGTGTTTGGGCGTCGGCTGAAACACCGTGTCGAGTATTTGATATGCCTCTCATCAATCAGACCCTGGGTAAGTGTACCAGAGGTTTGCTTCTCGCGTGCGGCGAGATGCTTCATTAGAGAGATTAGGGAGTTTTAGCTTCACGTATACGTCAAACGGCAAACGCGAATTTGTACCACGTGACCAAGTTTCCCCCTTTAAAATTGTCGCTTACTGTTTGTTACTTCTACTCAAAAATAACTAGTTTCACGCAAGCTTTATCCAAAGAAATTGTTCTTGACAGTTTTTATCTACTTATTTTCTATTTTGATAATTTCTCAACTTGAATCTGACGTTTGCCGTTTGCCGTTTGCCCTTCGGCCTAAACTCTAAACGGCACTCGAAGGCCGAAATCACGAGCGGTGACCAAAATCGGAAACTGCGCATGTGAAGTCTCTGTCACCCAGGGTAAATGATCGATGATATTTGACGAAATTCACCTTGATATTTCTTCCGAATTCTTGTGGGAAGCTTTTAATTTGTTGTCGGTGTTTTCAGGTCGGTGGAGGATGAATCTGCAGAGTATCAATTTTGTGAGAGTCGTCAGTTGAACATGTCCACTTTGCGCATGACAGCGGAAGCTAAGGTAAGATCAAATCCAATGTGCATTATTACATGGCTGGTACCGCGAGCGGGCAAGATGAAGCGAATCTTGTGCTCTGATTGGCTACCCGAACGAGGAAGATGGGTCTATCACGCCTGCTCGGGATTTCCCGCGTTAGTCCCGCAAGAAAAAAGTTCTCTTGGCCATATAATAAATCGATCCTTTATTGACCAAAACGAAGGTGGCGGGTAATATCTAGCTGTCTTTCTTGACCTCGCCTGGTCAATAGCGCATATGTCATACCTCGCGCGCGCTCCACAAGTCTCACCGCTGGATACAATGCCACCATGCGTTTGAGAAGTCATTGCTTTGAATCTTGCGCGAGACGCGCATATGGGAGCTGACGAAACCTCAGCGACGGCAGAGAAAATAAATACACTTACATTCGCATTACTGGCGCAATTCGTCAAGCTGGAGTTAAGTTGCAAGGAGCCGCATCCATATTCAAAAAGACAGCGAAAAGTTGTCCTTATGAAACGTCGTAAAGGGAACCTAAAGATGAGATTAGGTGTGCGCAGCGTTGATTTGTTTATTAAACCTTCGTGAAACCTTCTCACGTGATTTGACGTCGCTGTCGTTGTTTAGTAAACTCTGTATTGTTTCTTTTTCTCTCCTGATGCCATTTTTCTTAGCCATACCAAAGGAATTCATTGACCTGCCTTATTCCTCAGTCCCACGTGTCTGTTTGTGCTTATTTCTTATTTTTGATCATTGTTTAATACGAAATCTGTATGTCCTGACTTGAATCCGGTACTGGAACTTTTTTGTTTTTTTTATCACAGCTGCAACTTAAAGACTTACTTTGCAACGCTGGATTTCCTGATGGTATGTTTTTACTCTTTTTTGTTCTTTTTTTCCTTTCTTTCTCGTTTCTATTGTTTTCTGAATTGTCTTATATTTATCACGTGAAAAGAAAAGAGGAAACATAGTTCTTCGTCTACCACGTTCCGGATCTAACACAAGTCTAGAATTGTTTTTGAGGAGAGAAGAAGACTGGGGTACCCGGAGAAAAACCCTCGGAACATCTGCTTTCGTGCTGCCCAACACGAAAGCAGATGCTACTTTTGTCGCCTCACACGTCCACTGTAGTATTATCTGTGTTTTATTTTATTTATTTCAGTTGTTAAGAAATCTGTATTTATGGCGTCATCTCCGAGATTTGAACCGGACCAATCCTTTTTATGAACACTTTTGATAAGAGGAAACTATTCGTAATCTCGTCGTTGTCAGACTGGAAGAACGGAGGGACTTTAAGCCACCTAACCCTCTTGATTAAAATTGTCCAGGTCGGAAGTGGGTGAGAAATGTCCAAGCACACGTAAACTGTTCTATATCCTCAATGCCACGTGCCATCCCAGATTGGAGCCATCTATTCCCCTCATACGTTCGAGTCCTCCCTTATTCAGAACCCAGGACCTACTATAGACATCATTGAAAAAGCTACCACTATGACTTAATAACTGCCTACAGCGTGCCTCTATATCCCACTATGGCAGGTTTTAGCAGTTTCGATCTTGATTTATATTTAAAACAGCCTAGAAAGGAAATGTTGTTATCAAAGATGGCAGGTGTTGTTACTAACCTAACGTCGCTTCAATCTTGAATCAGAATGCATGCATCCTCAACCATTCAACTACAGTGGACCAGATTCCAAGCTCGATATGGTAAGAATAATTTACTAATAACAGAACACACAATACTGAAATATCACAGTGTCTCGTTAACCATCTCAAAAGTTCTCTGCAAAGGCCTTAAGATATCAGTTTTTTCGGTGCCAAAGATAGTGATGGAACGGTGGCTCTCTAAAGTTTGAGTCTGTCGGTGAAATCATGTAGCTTCATGTGGTGTGATCGTACAAAAGAAACTCCTTTAACGGTGTTTTCACATGCAGACTGTTTACGTTCTCCCATGTTTCGTTAGATCTTCAGGATCGAGCGCTTAACGATATAGACGGCCTTCGGGTAAAAGTAGGGGGGTGTGAAAAGTCACATGGTACTATTTATTTAGTACGTAGTTCTAACTTTTAAGTCTGTGGTTGAAATCGTATGATGTAATAGTACATAGTTCTAACTTTTGGGTTTGTTGTTGAAGTTCTGTGGTGTGACCATTCAAATGAAACCTCTTCAGTAGCATGGTACTATTAAAATAGTATATAGTTCTAACGTTTGAGTTTGTTGGTGAATTCCTGTGGTGTGACCATTCAAATGAAACCCCTTTGAACGCAGCACTTTTACTGGCTGCTATTTGTTTTTAATGACTTTATCCACTGAAATTGAGATTTTTGTTAAAAAAAAAAGGTTCAAAGGTTTGTTTATAGTGGAAAGTGCACTTAGCTTATCCAGCTAGTTTACAGCACTCCACTCAAATACCTAGAAACAAATAATTCAAATACAACATAACGGGATTAAACACCCCAACCGGCAGAAGGCAACTAGTTGGTCATTTTAAAAGCATGGCCGAGGATTTGAACTCGGGGCGACCGAGAAAAAATCCAGCAAGTCGCCAGAGCGGGACTCGAACCCAGGACCGCCAGATTGCAAGTCCGACGCTCTGACCACTCGGCCACGCTGCCTCCACCAAGTTTTAAGTTTAGACACTTGTGGGGCGTAAAAGGGTTCACACAAAAGCCATGCGTTCTCTACCGTGGCGCCGGAGTTTTTGTCTTCTTTCTTTACTCCTGATGAAATCGCGGTGAAGCCGCGACAGTGAGGCGCGAAACCCCCAAAACAACGAAAACGTCTCAGGAGCCTTATCGATCTGCGAACATGAGAACGGCCCTCCAGAGCTAGGGTGTGCTTTCTTACCCATGTGTTTGCCTTTAGTTTGGCTGGGTTACTGCTTGACTCGGTGGAACTTTGTTTCAGGTTGTTGCGCTGCTTTGCCTGGGTTTATACCCTAATGTTTGTGTTCACCGGGAGAAGCGTAAAGTTCTAACAACTGAAGGAAAAGCTGCCCTCATTCACAAATCTTCAGTTAACTGCTCCAACAGGGAACAGACGTTTCCTTCTCCTTTCTTTGTATTTGGAGAAAAGGTCAGTGTGGGTTAATTTGCTAGGTAAATACGTTTCTGTCGTTAACCAGTCAAATAAGTGTAGAGCACGATGGTGCAGTTAAGAGACACCCCATGTTTCGTCAGGGAGACCTGCCATAGAAATTTATTTCCCCTCTCTCGTTTAGAGATCATTTTGCCTACGTCAGGTCTATATACACCTAATAATTGCAATAACGTTGTCTTAAGAGGAAAATGAAAAAAAGGGAAAACGCCAAATAGGAATTAGTTAAGCTTAATAAAAAAACACTATGCTATTCGTCAATTTGCAGCATAGATGTTATTAAGGCGTAATAAACAATGTAAATCCAACGGCCGTACGCATATGTTGCAAATGAATGCAACGTACTGTGGTTTATTATTAAGTCTTGTTTATTCCTATTTAGCTTTTTACATTTTCCTTTTGTCCTTTTTGCATTTTTCTATGACAACGTTGTTGCAATTATGTGTATATGATTTTTTGAGATTCCATTTCATCATTTTACTATCTTCAGTTGTGCGAGTGACCCGCGTATTCATTAATGTGTAGTAGTCTCGTCAGTTATGTTTATAAAGAGGAAGCATTGTGTTTATAAATGGCATGCCTACTAGTGAAAGGGGACTGCTATTTCTGAATGCTCACAAATCATGAATTTTCTCACGGTCAAACTCGTTAGGTTGTCATAATCGGTCACTGAATGATGATGATGCTAAGTTCGTGAATTGTTTTTCTGTTGTAGATTCGTACCCGAGCTGTGTCGTGTAAGCAGATGACAATGGTGAATCCGCTTCAGTTGCTCATGTTTAGCCAAAGTAAAGTGGAATCTGAAAATGGTATCGTCAGAATGGACGACTGGTAAGCCGCCACAGCGACGGCCTTGTGCGTAAACACACAGGGTACCCGCCTGACGGCCTTGTACGTAAACGCACAGGATACCTAGATGATGACCTAGATAATGTGGCATGAGATACCTAGCAGCATTGCGGCCGACCTTACGAAACCACGGCTTTGTTCACAAGGCACTGGACAAATTTTCGACCGACTGAAACATTTCAGCAGACACTCCGTTCACCCTACACCGTTCAATAGTTTCACTCTGTTTACTCGGAACTTTGAACTGCTAGGCGTCTTAATTTCCATACGGTTAAAGTGGCTCTGTATCAACACAACACCTAAACACACGAATCGGACGAAAATTCTTACGGTGCCGTCTGATTGTAGCCTGCGACAGCGACAGCAACGGGAACGGGAACGCGAACGTTCAAAAAACAATTGGTTTAGGAAGTAAAATAACAACTCTGCACGAGTGTTACGCTTTGTTGTAAATTTCGTTGCCGTCCCCGTACAACTACGTTCTCAACTAACTAAATTTTAAGTTAACGGAAGAACGGGAACGGCATGGGGATAAATTTTATTATCTCTATCTGAATTAGGACTTAGTCCCCTCCCTTTAGCTCCAAACAAATTTCCGTTTTTTTAAATTAACTTGCAGCTTGGAATGATCGCGAAAAAGTTTAAAAAGGATGCGAGGGGTTTTTTTTGTTTTGGTTTGTTTTTTGGGGGAGGAGGGGGGCGACGTTTTCATTGTCGAATCGTAAGGACCCCACTGGTTTCGGCGATATACAGCATAAAAGCTACTAATGAAATCGTAACATGCTCCGGCCGAATCATCGGCATCGGCTCGTGTATGCCTTGTCCTTTACCGTAATTTTTTCCTCCAGGTTGCAGTTCCGTTTCGTCCATCATCAAGCCGCCATGATTGTAGCTCTACGGCACGCGGTGGATTTCCTTTTAGTTCGTGCTGCCACAACTCCCTCCATTATCGCCGAACCAAGTCACATGGACGAAAAAATCCTTCATGTCATGAAGTCCCTGTCTAGAGCCAATGCCGGATGGTTTGGAGTAAACCGCGGCGGGGGAAACCAGTTTCACCATCGAGGACATCCCCCAGGGTAAGCTATGTCACGACAAGCAAAGCATCTGCGTGCGAGAACATTCGCGAGCTGGTGTTTCTGTTTGTGGTTTTGTCAAGGACATTTTCAGATAGAAATATGGCAAGGTGTGATGTATTGTCCGTTTATGTTTATGAAGTCAAGGTGGCTAAATAATGGTCTTTTTGTGAATACAAAAGATTGCAAGTTGGGAACTTTTGAGGCGGCTAATAACTTGGGGGCCAGCTTCAGCAAATTTTAAAAACTGGGGTAAACATTTTTAACTCCTTTTACTGACTCAACTACAATAGTACTCGTACGCTTTTCGTGTAAGAAAAAAGGGACTGAGTCATGATTTTTAAAAAGGTTACTGTCAAATATTTCTGTGATAGTAAACCCCTAAATATCCACATGTCACCAGATACATCGACAAACATCATGGAGCGGGGTCAGAAGCAGTTTTCGAACAGCGCTAAAAGCTGGCGGTTTGTCTTCGTGGAGTTTTTGAAGTTGACCATTTGCCCTTCCCACGCCTTTAACAATAATTTTAAAAATAAATTTTAAAAACCCTCGGAACATCTGCTTTCGTGCTGCCCAACACGAAAGCAGATGCTACTTTTGTCGCCTCACACGTCCACTGTAGTATTATCTGTGTTTTATTTTATTTATTTCAGTTGTTAAGAAATCTGTATTAGTGGACTTTTATGTTTCAATTGTTGTATAAATAGTGTGAACCACTAACACACTCAAGACAAATGGCGTCATCTCCGAGATTTGAACCGGACCAATCCTTTTTATGAACACTTTTGATAAGAGGAAACTATTCGTAATCTCGTCGTTGTCAGACTGGAAGAACGGAGGGACTATAAGCCACCTAACCCTCTTGATTAAAATTGTCCAGGTCGGAAGTGGGTGAGAAATGTCCAAACACACGTAAACTGTTCTATATCCTCAATCCCACTTGCCATCCCAGATTGAAGCCATCTATTCCCCTCATACGTTCGAGTCCTCCCTTATTCAGAACCCAGGACCTACTACAGACATCATTGAAAAAGCTACCACTATGACTTAATAACTGTGCACAGCGTGCCTCTACTTCCCACTATGGCAGGTTTTAGCACTTTCGATCTTGATTTATATTTAAAAAAGCCTAGAAAGGAAATGTTGTTATCAAAGATGGCAGGCAAGTGTTGTTACTAACCTAACGTCGCTTCAATCTTGAATCAGAATGCATGCATCCTCAACCATTCAACTACAGTGGACCAGATTCCAAGCTCGATATGGTAAGAATAATTTACAAATAACAGAACACACAATACTGAAATATCACAGTGTCTCGTTAACCATCTCAAAAGTTCTCTGCAAAGGCCTTAAGAAATCAGTTTTTTCAGTGCCAAAGATAGTGATGGAACAGTGGCTCTCTAAAGTTTGAGTCTGTCGGTGAAATCATGTAGCTTCATGTGGTGTGATCGCACAAAAGAAACTCCTTTAACGGTGTTTTCACATGCAGATTGTTCACGTTCTCCCATGTTTCGTTAGATCGCTTAACGATATAGGCGGGCTTCGGGTAAAAGTCACATGGTACTATTTATTTAGTATGTAGTTCTAACTTTTAAGTCTGTGGATGAAATCCTATGATGTAATAGTACATAGTTCTAACTTTTTAGTTTGTTGTTGAAGTTCTGTGGTGTGACCATGCAAATGAAACCTCTTCAGTAGCATGGTACCATTAAAATAGTATATAGTTCTAACGTTTGAGTTTGTTGGTGAATTCCTGTGGTGTGACCATTCAAATGAAACCCCTTTGAACGCGGCACTTAACTGGCTGCTATTTGTTTTTAATGACTTTATCCACTAAAATTGAGATTTTTGTTTAAAAAAAAGGTTCAAAGGTTTGTTTATAGTGGAAAGTGCACTTAGCTTATCCAGCTAGTTTACAGACACTCCACTCAAATACTTAGAAACAAATAATTCAAATACAACATAACAGGATTAAACACCCCAACCCAGCAGAAGGCAACTAGTTGGTCATTTTAAAAGCATGGCCGAGGATTTGAACTCAGGGCGACCGAGAACAAATCCAGCAAGTCGCCAGAGCGGGACTCGAATCCAGGACCGCCAGATTGCGAGTCCGACGCGCTGACTACTTGGCCACGCTGCCTCCACCAAGTTTTAAGTTTAGACACTTGTGCGGCGTAAAAGGGTTCACACAAAAGCCATGCGTTCTCTACCGTGGCGCCAGAGTTTTTGTCTTCTTTCTTTACTCCTGATGAAATCGCGGTGAAGCCGCAACAGTGAGGCGCGAAACCCCAAAAACAACGAAAACGTCTCAGGAGCCTTATCGATCTGCGAACATGAGAACGGCCCTCCTGAGCCAGGGTGTGCTTTCTTACCCATGTGTTTGTCTTTAGTTTGGTTGGGTTACTGCTTGACTCGGTGGAACTTTGTTTCAGGTTGTTGCGCTGCTTTGCCTTGGTTTATACCCTAATGTTTGTGTTCACCGGGAGAAGCGCAAAGTTCTAACAACTGAAGGAAAAGCTGCTCTCATTCACAAATCTTCAGTTAACTGCTCCAATAGGGAACAGACGTTTCCTTCTCCTTTCTTTGTATTTGGAGAAAAGGTCAGTGTGGGTTAATTTGCTAGGTAAATACGTTTCTGTCGTTAACCAGTCAATTAAGTGTAGACCACGATAGTGCAGTTAAGAGACACTCCATGTTTCGTCAGGGAGAAGTGCCATAGAAATTTATTTCCCCTCTCTCGTTTAGGGATAATTTTGCCTACTTACGTTCTATATACACCTAATAATTGCAATAACGTTGTCTTAGAAAATTGTTAAGAGGAAATATGAAAAAAAAGGAAAACGTCAAATAGGAATTAGTTAAGCTTAATAAAAAACCACTATGCTATTCGTCAATTTGCAGCATAGATGTTTTTAAGGCGTAATTACCAATGTAAATCCAGCGGCCGTACGCATACGTTGCAAATGAGTGCAACGTATAGTGGTTTATTATTAAGTCTTAAGTCCTATTTAGCTTTTTACATTTTCCTTTTTTCCTTTTTGCATTTTTCTATGACGGTAGTTGCAATTATGTGTATATGATTCTTTGAGACTCCATTTCATCATTTTACCATCTTCAGTTGTGTAGCGAGTGACCCGCGTATTCATTAATGTGTAGTAGTCTCGTCAGTTATGTTTATAAAGAGGAAGCATTGTGTTTATAAATGACATGCCTACTAGTGAAAGGGGACTGCTATTTCTGAATGCTCACAAATCATGAATTTTCTCACGGTCAAACTCGTTAGGGTGTCATAATCGGTCATTGAATGATGATGATGCTAAGTTCGTGCATTGTTTTTCTGTTGTAGATTCGTACCCGAGCTGTGTCGTGTAAGCAGATGACAATGGTGAATCCGCTTCAGTTGCTCATGTTTAGCCAAAGTAAAGTGGAATCTGAAAATGGCATCGTCAGAATGGACGACTGGTAAGCCGCCACAGCGACGGCCTTGTACGTAAACGCACAGGGTACCTAAATGATGACCTAGATAATGTGGCATGAGGTACCTAGCAGCATTGCGGCCGACCTTACGAAACCAAGGCTTTGTTCACAAGGCACTGGACAAATTTTCGACCGACTGAAACATTTTAGCAGACACTCCTTTCACCCTACACCATTCAATAGTTTCACTCTGTTTACTCGGAACTTTGAACTGCTAGGCGTCTTAATTTCCGTACGGTTAAAGTGGCTCTGTATGAACACAACACCTAAAAACACGAATCGGACGAAAATTCTTACGGTGCCGTCTGATTGTAGCCTGTGACAGCGACAGCAACGGGAACGGGAACGCGAACGTTCAAAAAACAATTGGTTTGTTTTTTTGGGGGGGGAGGGGGGGGGCGACGTTTTCATTGTCGAATCGTAAGGACCCCACTGGTTTCGGCGATATACAGCATAAAAGCTACCAATGAAATCGTAACATGCTTCGGCCGAATCATCGGCATCGGCTCGTGTATGCCTTGTCCTTTACCGTCATTTTTTATCCTTCCAGGTTGCAGTTCCGTTTCGTCCATCATCAAGCCGCCATGATTGTAGCTCTACGCCACGCGGTGGATTTCCTTTTAGTTCGTGCTGCCACAACTCCCTCCATTATCGCCGAACCAAGTCACATGGACGAAAAAATCCTTCATGTCATGAAGTCCCTGTCTAGAGCCAATGCCGGATGGTTTGGAGTAAACCGCGGCGGGGGAAACCAGTTTCACCATCGAGGACATCCCCCAGGGTAAGCTATGTCACGAAAAGCAAAGCATCTGCGTGCGAGAACATTTCATTTTGCGAGCTGGTGTTTTTGTTTGTGATTTTGCCAGGGACATTTTCAGATGGAAATATGGCAAGTTGTAATATATTGTCCTTTTATGTTTATGAAGTCAAGGTGGCTAAATAATGGTCTTTTTATGAATACAAAAGATTGCAAGTTGCGAACTTTTGAGGCGGCTAATAACTTGGGGGCCAGCTTCAGCAACTTTTAAAAACTGGGGTAAACATTTTTAACTCCTTTTACTGACTCAACTACAATAGTACTCGTAAGCTTTTCGTGTAAGAAAAAAGGGACTGAGTCGTGATTTTTAAAAAGCTTACTGTCAAATATTTCTGTGATAGTGAACCCCTAAATATCCACATGTCACCAGATACATCGACAAACATCATGGAGCGGGGTCAGAAGCAGTTTTCGAACAGCGCTAAAAGCTGGCGGTTTGTCTTCGTGGAGTTTTTGAAGTTGACCATTTGCCCTTCCCACGCCTTTAACAATAATTTTAAAAATAAATTTCAAAAATAGAAGAAACTGCAAACTGATGACTCGTAGACAATTGTTTAATCGTTAGTATTCGATCTGTGAGAATTACATTTTTAAACACGGTTAGAAGCATATGTCCTCCGACACTCCTGAATTTCAGTCAAGTTAAAAGTGGAGCCAAACAGAGAGCAAGCACATTTCGTTGAAAAGGGACATTCACATTACATTACCATGTTTAACCGTTTTTTCTTTGTCCATTCGTTTCTCTCAATTATTGTATTTTTGTTTTATCTTGCTTCACTTTTCACTATTCGGACGCTCGCATATAAAAATCTTAAAAAGTCGAAAGTACAATTTTTTAAAATGATGTTTTTTTTTTTTAAGATAGCCAGCTCAAATTTGATGTAGGGTTTTAGTTATCAGCAGTTTAACCGGAACACGCTACATCCTTTTTCGTGAGACAGCCCCGTAACCTTAAGGGTTATTTCTTAGTCCATTCCTTTCTTTCGGTTATTGTATGTATTTTTGTCTGACAATGTCTTACATTTGAATGGAATAGAAACAACATTTTAAAAGTCCTTTGGGCGTATCTTCATGTCGGACCTCTTGAAAGAGTAGTAGCTTTTTTTCCATCCCCACCATGACATTCCTTTGGCATCGATCTGACCTGGAAGGTACAGGCCATTCAGATTGGAAGAGTGACAATTTTTGTACCACCAAGCGCCTCTATATAACGTGGCACAGTTCGACGAATACTTGTCGTTATCACGATCCTTGGTACTGAATGCCATACCACGGTGAGGGGCAAGAGAATCTCCGGCGGTTCCTGTAAATTCAACCCCAATAAATCGTGGATTTGTTAGATTATTTAGGAGAGTCCACTTTTAGCGGTCAGTCACTCTCTACCCCTAGATTGATTAACGCTCCCATATGGCTGGCACAACAGCGCAACCCAGCCATGAGCCCCCTCGCAAAAGGCAACAAAACAGGCACCCTTCACACTAAGAAATAGCAGTGCGAGACGGAACAACAGGAAAGGGAAGGGGGGAGAAAAAGAGATTGGCAGGATCAAAGCAACGCATTTACTGCGTGAAAACTATTACTTTAGCTACTTTAGGTAAGGAAATAAATTGACAACGATATGATCTTACCTGAATAACTTCCCAAACTCAACACGTACTTGGCCTTTTCGCTTGTCACGCCAAATGAGCTGTATTCTGCGTACGCCTTGTTTCCTTCGAAGTCTTCCAAGTCTACACGAAGCTTGTAATCACCATGAACAGTTAGACGATGGATCTTGTCTAGACCAAGCCAAAACTCACCGTTTAGATTGCCAAAGCCATTCTTGTACTCATTCCAAGCTCGGTAGAAATCTACAGACCCATCTCGTCTTCGCTGAAACACTGTCCAACCTCCACGATCTGTTTTCTGATCACAGAAAACTTCAAATTCACCCAAACCATCAGGTTTGATTTTGTACACACCGCTTATTTTGATGCCAGACTTGTAAAGGTCAGCGCAGTTCTTGTTAACTGAAATTTGGCAAAAATGATCAACTAGTGATGAGTGTTGTTTACCGATTATAATGATAACAGTGAAGACTGTTTACAGTTGTTTCGCTATAAATTACATTTGACCAAATTACTCTTTTTAGATCCATCAAAATTTCAGTAATTTCACTTATGTAATTGGTCAAACACATAATCCAAATCATGTGGAGGAAAACAAGACCAACTAATTAAGTTTGTTTTCACCTTTCTCTAATAAAATTTGTTACTTTCGTCAATTTTACACAGAGTAGCTAATAAAGACTGGATATACAAACCCTTCGGCGGACCGGTAACGCCAGTTTCGTTTTTGTTCTCTGGCGGCGAGGATCTGATTTCTTCTAGCATTTTTATAATTTTGGCAAGTTGTTGCTCGGTTTTGTTGCAGTTTTGTCCGCCTGCATAGTAATAGTTATTCATATCAGACCGTTTCTCCTTCAAACCATCGTTACTTTTCGCAGGTTTTCCCAGAGTGTGAGCTAGAGCTGTTACTAAACAAGAAAGCATAAGAAATTCTATGAAGCCCTTCATTTTGTCCAGTTGTGCGCGCAAAGTTTGTTGAAAATACATAAATGATAGCCTGCCAAAGGCTTTTAAGCCTGGAGTATTTTACGCCCATAGAAATGAGATTTTTCTCTAGGTTATTTTAGGACCGCTTAATCAAGGCTTATCAGTCAGTAGATTACACCTCTCAGTGTTAAGTGTGGACTGTGAAGAAAGGTGATGACTGGGCATGAAATGAAAAATTTAAGGGTTCCTGGAAAAATTGAATTTTAGTTCCACTATTCTGAAAGAGAGAAGATGAGGAACGGGAACGACATACTGAATACCGCGTCCAAACCACTATATAGATGCTTCTATAGGAACATATTTTAATGTGGAATTAATCAGTGAATCGCTACCTTTCAACGACGTATATTTCACTTCAGATAACGAGTGGCACGCAATGGACGTAAAATTTAAAAAAATCGGCGTTTTTATGACGCCCCAATTTTAACAGTGTAATGAGAAAGTTGATTTAGTTTATCAGGTCTCAATGCATCCAATTTTCCTCGTTCTATTGAGCGCATGTATTTCTAGCTTAACCAGTATATACTTGAGGTGCATATAAGTAGACGAATATAGGGAAAGTAATTTTTATTGTTTCTGAATAGTACTTGACTATTTTTTTTCTGTTAATCAGCATTTGATCAGAAAGTCTTTACTTCTCGAGAGCCTAGAACTACTTAAAAGTCCAATATCATTGTTAATGGTTTTGGAAATCCGCCCAGAATGGATTGGTCTTGCTATAAACCTTACTATAGTATTGCACTAAAACTGTTAAAAACAGTCTTCGACAAATTGTATTTGTATAGGTAATAGCATGATTTGTAGTGATATTTGATATTTGGCATGAATACCAAGAGTGGTGTTTCAAAACTGTTATACGTAATTTAACGAGCCGTTAGGCGAGTGAAACTTGAGACAATCTTAAAATATCACGAGTGATATTTACGCCAAATATCACGTACAAAACATGCTATTATTTGTTTACACTACCACCCGCAAAAGGTTGTAATTTTCACATGTAGGTATTTCAAATTAAGCAGAAATACCACTGCCCTAAGCCAATCAAATCACAGAAATTTCTCATGCAGTGGTATAAAGGGAGGAAGTACTCTGGAACGTACGCGAAAAGTTCGAGCCTACCTTTCAAGTTTTAAAAAAGATGAAAAAGCCGAATAGGGATTAATTAGGCTTGCTAATAAACCACTCTGGGATGCAGTCATTTGCAACATAGAGGTTTTCAAGCGTATATGCAAATGTAATGGCTGTACGCGTATATCAGTGTTGCAAATTAGAGTGGTTTATTAGGAAGCCTAATTTATTCCTATTCGGCTTATGACATTTTCATTTTCTCCTTTGTGCATATTTCTATGACAACATTATTGTAATTAGGTATAAGCAGGAGCCATGGCTCTTGGTGTAAGTGTATTTTTATCATTCTTGTCAACCACAGACAAATGTCGTGTAAAGTTTGTGTTGAGAGCTCTTTTTTATTATCAGTAAGCTTCACAGTACAACCGTTTTATCACTCCTCCTGCTCTGTGTCAATATCTTGAAGAGATTGTGTCTAACCGAAGACGTTCCTGCTGTTTTCCACTTTTCTGCAGTGAGAGTGCTTGAGTATCTGATAACATACTAAAACCGGTAGTCAAATGGCGATTCCAACAATACTGAGAAGCTAGGGTTTTCTTTTACTGAAACTTAGATTACTGAAACGATTTATTCCCAGCATTTAGACAAGAACTGGCTAGTTCCCTCTAAAACATTCCTTTAACAAAAAACCTTGTTCCTCTTTCGTGGCGGACAGTTTTAGACCGTGTGTAGTGGGCACGAGTTTGCGCTTTAAATACAAGGGTGTGATGATTAGGCCTTGTTGACCCGTAGTAAAGTCTGCAAAGTTACTTAAATTGGCATATTTTAGGTGTCGCCCATTTGACCTTTCAAGGGGGTATGGGTGATGGGTGATTCGGTTTGGGTAAGAATAATTTTTTTCCCAACATAAAACGGTGTAAGTTTTTATTAACTGTTTAAAGCCGTGAAATATCCTCTTTTCAGTGTAGGAATTTATTTCGCCAGGTCTAGTATTTCCTTGCAAGAATTTTCCCCCGAAATCAGTCTTCAAGATATTTTTTCTGAAATCTCCCATACCCCCCCGCCCTCCAGTTTTTGGTCAGCCCCTTTGGGGGGTTTGTCAGGCAGAAGCATCATGTTCCTGAATTCTCGCTATTTGACTTGAAACAGGTCTGCAGTCATTGTCTTACGCAGAGTCGTTTAGGACCAATATTACCTTCTACCATTGGTCACCTCTTTTACTAACCTCGATGTGTCCTTTCTTAGGTTGATGCATAGGGGAGGGCGTGGAGGCCCCCCGCCCAGGCGCGGCTACCAAGGCCCCAGACATTACCGTGGCAACAATCAAGGAGGTGGATTCCGAGGGGGACGGGGTGGTGGATTCCGAGGAGGACCCCCTCGGGGAGGGTTCCGTGGATTTCGTGGTGGACAGTTTTAGATACAGAAACCGCTTTAATAAGTTAATTTGGCTGTTTTGCGTCATGGTGCAGAATAAACTTTACAGTAAGAGCTAGTTAAAAACGTATGTTTTCCGCGGCCGGAGACGTAAAGAAACGTTCTATTCAGCTTGGCTTTTCAGGAATTTAGTTTACATGTAAAGAAAATTCTTTTCAGAGAAAATATGGTTCACAAATTACCACTATCCAATTCTTTTGACTTGTATGGTGTACAAGTGACTTGGAAGGAAAGACTCGTTGAACAATACATTTGTAATTTATACTAGGGTCTTTTGTAGTTCACTGTATGGAGCACAGTACTTGTCCTGAATCTTTGTATTGATGTAACAATATAGTAAAAGATGTTTGTAGATAGCAACACGGTTTTTAGGACGTTTTCTTTCCATGCAACGCGCCTTAAGTACTAGCTTTGCCTTTTCTGACGATTACAATGAAATGCTACAATTCCTGTGTTTACTACTTGTCTCAATTTTTGTGTTCGTGGATTAAATAGAGAAATGAAATAAAAATATTTATTATATAAACTGCAGTGTTTTACAAGGATTTCTACCACCGAGAAATGTGGTATCTGAACACACGTAAAAATACGATATTTTTACATGTGAAGATATCGATAATTTCACTGACATCAGGTTTGTCTCTTAAATTGTACTTAAATTCGTTGGTGTATCATCGAAACATCTTCGGGTCTTCCTCGAAAGTGCTCGGCAATCTTCGGAAATCTTCGGACATCTTCGGAAAATTTCGGAAATTCTCGGAAAATGTTCGGGAACGTTCGTCTGGTCTTCGGGACAATTTGAAAAATCTTCGGAAATCTTCGGAAGGTGGTCGGAAATCTTCGGAAAATCATCAAAAACGCCGTCATCAGTATGTTTATATAATAAAAAGAATATTACACGTTGGCTCGAAGATATGAATTTTATGTCCTCGTGGCAAGAGCAATATCTCACTCGTTTGCTGCGCTCACTCGTGAGATATTGTTCTTGCCACTCGAACATAAAATTCATATCTTCTCGCCACCGTGTAATATTCTCTATTTATCGGACTTATTTCGCGTGGTAACTGTTAATGTTAGTTCAATGTAATGTTTTAATCTTTTAAAATATTTTTAAGTGTGTCCTTCAGTTCTGCGTGTTGAGGGCCGTTTGCAAAGTGATTTATCCATAAATTCCATGGCTGTGCGCTAATAAAAATTCTAGGGAAGCCAATGATTTCTACTCAAAACGATTTCCTAGTCGCCCAAGAGCAAACATAAGGCGACCGACAAGACTTTATCCAAAAACCAAAATTATGCATTTTCAACGTAGCAGGGTTCAGTGGGTTTTGCAAATAAAACTTATGGTTTTTCCAAAATGCGTGGCCGTTTCTTGTTGATCTGTAATCGAGCGCGCAACTTAGATACAGCACTTTGCGTTTTGACTAGAAACTCTAATATCGTTGGAAGAACTACGAATTGTCTGCGAAAAATCTATGTTCTTGAGATTAAGAGAACATCTGCCACCTTTTTTCAGTTTTCAAAAGGTACATTTTTAAATGGCAAAATATTTAAACTGCACGTCTCAAAAATGTCAAAAAGACCTTAGTCTTAGTCATTTTAGAGGAGACCAAAGTTCTGGATGACCGAGGCGTTCACTGCGCTTTAAACGTTATTTTTCCTTGAAGCAAAGACGATTTCAAATGTACACACATATACAGGAAACATCACCCAAAAAGCTTTATTTTTCTTTCTTCATTAAACCTCTTTTATCTTTTATCCATTATCTTGAAATTTAACGAAAATATTGTTAAGCATCCTTGAGACCTTACAAATCTAACTACACTCGGATAAGAGAACTTTAAAAATTATTTGGACGTATTTTCATCTCAGATCTCTTGAAAGAAAAATAGTTATTTTTCCACTTCATCCAAGCCATCCCTTGGTTACTGGACTTGCTGTATAAGTACAGAGCATTCAGGTTCGAACTGTAGCAACCATTGTACCACCATGCTCCCTTCCATGACGATGCGCAGTTCTTGGACCACTTGTCATTATCGCTGTCCTTGGTAGTAAAGAACATTCCATTGTGATAAGCAAGGGAATCTCCAGCATTGCCTGAAGAAAAACAATAAATTTGTGAATTTTTTATATCATGGGGAAAACTAGTACTATCTATAAATATCGGCATAATCTAAGAGAAATTACGACTTATCACACTCAATCAATTCGCAGTCATTTGAGGAGAATTCTCACCTGAATACCCTCCCACAGTAAGCTGGTATTTCGCCTTCTCGTTTGCTACAGCAAATGAGCTATACTCTGCAAGTAGTATGGTGCCAGCAGTAGCTTCCAAGTCAACACGGAGCTTTTTATTTTTGCCTGCTGTCAGGCGGTGAATCTTGTCAAGACCCAGCCAAAACTCGCCATTCAGATTCCCGAAGCCCAGTTTATAATCATTCCACCCTCTGAAGAAATCTACAGAGCCGTCCTGTCTTCTTTGAAACACTGTCCAACCACCTCCTGCGGTTTTCTGATCGCAGAAGACTTCAAATTCGCCCAGACCGTCTGGATCGATTTTGTACAATCCACTCATCTTGCCACCGGACTTGAAGACTTCTGCGCAGTTTTTGGGAACTGAAAATTTAATAAAGAACCTTTGATAACCCCAAAATGATATAATATATCTCTCGAACGCCAAAATAAAATAAAGCGGAGGTATAAAACAATTAAACTTGCCTTTGTGTCTTTAGTTCCAATTTTGATAACGAAATAAAATTTAAATGTACAATTCATGCAGACCGAACCTGACGCTTTCTCGATTTTGAAACTGAGGGCCATAACTGAACTTACCTTTTCCACGAAAGCTCCATGGCTTTCCTTTCATTGCCCGGATTTCTTGTTTTATTTCCAAGAGATGCTGTTCCATCTTTTTGCAGTGTCCTTCGCTGTAGTAGTTGTTGATCATATCAGACTAAGCTCTTCCAGTGTTGACACCTGAATCAGCTGTGGCCAGTTTCGGTGACGGGTTTGTGAGTACAGCAACGATGGAACACAACACATTAGTTGCAATGAGATAATTCATAGTGATCTCGTTATTCGGAAACAGCATCAAAGTCAGTGAGAGAATAAGAGCTTCCTTGACCGTGCAAACCAAATGTTCTCTCATTGAGGTCTCATTTTGGAACGAGATTTTTCGTGTCTCTGAAATCTTTTTTTAGAAGCGCTTACGACACCAATGAAATGATTGTTTATATAAACTAGTCATAGTTGTCACTAAATCTGCCCCCGACCTTTTAAAAACCGAATGAAGACTCCTTGTGGTTGTCCATGTATTTGCCATGAACCTTTGAAATGCAGTTTTCGAATTAGAGTTTCTAAGTGTAATTCTTTTGTTCTCTTTTGTGTTTTCTCAATTATTACACTTTGTTTTCTGGGTTAATGAAAATCCTCATACATGACATGCCTAGGATGGACAATTTTTTTTTTATACATGTCATAATGAGTTCAACCAACACTGCCAATGTAATAGAACGCGTGTTAAACAGCAAAACCATCTTTAATTATCTATTTGTAACTAAATTTCCTATAACTAATGTGTCGAACGGATGGTTTGGCTTCGAGTGTGACATTCTTGAACGCAACTGATATAAATGATTTCGCAATAAACTAACCCTACAAAAACATGGACCACTGTTTCAAGTTTCTCACCTTTGAGATATTTCCCAGTTCATTTTTTCTGGCGTGTCCTTGTATCAAATAAAATAATCGGGATTTCGCAATAAACTAACCCGAAAAACACATGGACCACTGTTTATTAAACCCTGAATACCTTAATATATAACAAAACCCGGTTATTTCACGTTAGCACCTTTCTTGTCTTTAACTGGGTTTTGAGAAATTTGAGCTATTCCTGATGTGGTTTGAATCGAGTTTGTCGATCCACGTTGACAAAACCAGTTCAAAGATCTGTCGATCCACGTTGCTGATTTGTGTCTGACAAATCAAGTTCTTTAATACCAAACAATTGCAGTACTGCTGAATCGAATAACTTTTTAACTCCATAGAAATATGTATCTCGCAATAACCTTCGCGAAACTCGGTTTGGTAACGGCACTCAAGTTAAGCCCTGTCGGTCGGGGTACGTCTTCTCCTTCGTTGTTCACGCTGAATTTGAAGTCGGCGTTCTCGCTCTAGAGGAGTTTCGGTGGAAAATCTTCCTGGGCGAGGATTTGGAGCCACTTGTTGTGCTTGTGTGCGACGGTGAATGCGACTCGCTGACAAACCCAGTTTGCGCAGTTGCTGAGCCAGGCGCACATGCTGAAAATTAACCGGGACCACCGTGCGCGCCTAGTTTCATCAAATCGGGAAAGTTTCGCATACTAACAGTAAGACGATACGATATACTTNAGTTCTGTCGATCCACGTTGCTGATTTGTGTCTGACAAATCAAGTTCTTTAATACCAAACAATTACAGTACTGCTGAATCGAATAACTCCATAGAAATATGTATCTCGCAATAACCTTCGCGAAACTCGGTTTGGTAACGGCACTCAAGTTAAGCCCTGTCGGTCGGGGTACGTCTTCTCCTCCGTTGTTCACGCTGAATTTGAAGTCGGCGTTCTCGCTCTAGAGGAGTTTCGGTGGAAAATCTTCCTGGGCGAGGATTTGGAGCCACTTGTTGTGCTTGTGTGCGACGGCGAATGCGAATCGTTGACAAACCCAGTTTGCGCAGTTGCTGAGCCAGGCGCACATGCTGAAAATTAACCGGGACCACCGTGCGCGCCTAGTTTCATCAAATCGGGAAAGTTTCGCATACTAACAGTAAGACGATACGATATACTTCTTCTTTACGCGGGGGACATTAGGGTGCCTCCTAGGGTTCCGGCCTCTGGGATTTCGGCATGGATTGGACTTCTGGATGGGACACGGATCAGGATCTTAGTAAACTTATTATACCTTGGAATCAGGCATAATCATTGGAACTATGTTAACTTTGAGACCTTGGAAACACATTGCAATTAATTTTTTAACCGTATCAAGACCATTTTGGAATATTAAACTTTCATCTTGGATTAAAACATTGGAACTTTATCGAACTTTGTAACCCTGGGTTAGAACCTGGATAAAGCAAGCGGATTTTTTGTTTTGTTTTGTTCCATTAACCTAAAACTACAATGTTTATTTCTCTTTGAAAAAGTTACCTGTGGCTACTTACCATCAACATATGACGTACCTGTATACATATAGTTCCTGTTCAGGTTAATCAGAGAGCATTATGCGCATGTTCTCCATTACTTGTTTCCGTTAACATTCCAATTTAAGTTACACGGGTAAACCTTGTTATGATGCAAAATAACTTCTTTTTCTTATCCAAATCGTGCTATAAAAATAACTACATAGCGATAGATCAAAACAAGATCAACTCCATCCTTGCGACCACTGACAACTATAAATTTAGCTTACGTAGCAGGTGTCGAAAGGGGTAGGAGATAGGGAGGAAGCAAAAAGGGGATGTGGATTGGGGAGAAATAGTAGCCTGTCACGCAGGCTACTATAAATTCAGTCATAAGCACATACAGGTAACCTACTCATCGATGCTCACAACGTGACACATCTTTCTGGTTTCCCTAATTTTTCCAAATTCACATAGAACGCCATTATGCTTCCATAGACCAACGCATCCCACGGAAACGACTTTGGGCGTCTTGTTTATTACGAAGTTGTAGCTGACATCAAAGGGACATTCGCATAACAACTAGACGTGCAAAACACCCACAAGTAAACAAAATAAGACAATGGAATTAGCGCATAATAGCGTGAAGTATTCTACTACCTATTTCACAAAATCACTTTACTGTTTCAATCTATAGAACGACTTTTTCACAAAGGTATACGCATTTATGCTCGCGCGTCGAATTTCCCCGGCTTCCTGCCTTCAAACCTGCCACCGGCTCAGGGTATACAAAAAGCCGCATCGAGTGAAGGCGGCGCTACGATTTCGTTTTTAATTAGTTTATAGAGTTACAATCGATATCTTCTTCCGTGTACAGAAGAAAAGGAAACCTTTTATTGTCTCGCCGCAGGCTCGCGGAAGAGCTTTTCTGTCCTTAATTAGAAAATGAAATTGCTTCCCAATACTGCTCTAACGAGCGTCTCCAAGGTTTCAGTTGATTTCTTACGAGACTGAAACTTAATTTAACTTTCTTATAGCTTGCAGTGCAGGCGTTTTCATCGGGCTCGAAAGCGCCATGTTGAAACTCCAAAGAGAGGAGAAAATGGGGCGAGTCAAAGGGAGCGCGCGGGGAGGGGGTGGGGAAAGAAAAGACAAAAGCCCTTTTTTTTTCTCCCCTCCCCCTCCCCCCACTCCTTCTTTCGCCCTCACACCTACCCGAAGGGTTACTATTTCCACTCTCTCCAATCTTCCTCTGTCATAAAATCAAAGATGGCGACTACATCGTAACAATACGAACAAGAACAAACAAGAACAAGCTGGTAGTCACTTGAAGGGATAGACGAGAGGGCCCTTCCTCGATCCTGAGACTGGGACCGAGTTATACGATCGCCGAAGATTTTTCCGAATGGATCTTCGTACGTGAGGGGTACGTGAACAATTAAATCATGAGCTCTTTTGATATACAGTATGTGTGCAGAGGCTACAATTATCTCTTCCCTCGAGTTGAATTAAGGTAAGTTTTAAAACGTTCCTTGGTTGTTTGCAGTTCTACTGAATTCGTAGAAAATTCGATTCATAGTAATTGCTGATCAAGCTTTGCAATTAATTGACAATGGGCCCTGTGATCTATGTTCACGTCACATAGATGAAAGGTACCTCCAGTTTCAACGTTTTTTCTTTTGCTTAAAAATATGATAACAATAATAAAAAAGACATGAAGCTGTTGTTGCAGGATAAGAGATTGTTAAGAGAATTCCTATTCAGAGGTCACAAGGCCCATACAATGGATTATTACTTAATTATTATTATTTTTAAGCTTATATCTTATTTATTTTTGCCAGTGTTGGCCGGGACCCCTCTTCTTTGACAACATTATCTGTTATTCCAATCTTATGCCATTTCACTATACTAAGTGACTACCAAGAGAATGTGCAAATTCTGTATTGCAATGTA